CGACCACTTGAACGCCTGTGGACTTCGAGACACAGAATTCCCCACCCAGGGAGGGCTGGAGTCCATCTATGCTGGCTGGGGAATTCTGGGAGTTGAAGTCCACCCATCCGCCGGTTGCCACAGCTGCTTGGCTCCAAACGAGGCTGCACATATCCACTCGGGAGCCACTCGGGACGGAAAAGCGAAGCGGACAAGGCCAGAGGGCTGTGGGACTCGGAAGGCGAGACCTGTGTTGTTGGGGGCAGCCGCTTCCTTCCCCACCTGGCCTTGCTCCTCCCTGCCCGTCCTACCTTCTCCGCCTGAGCTTCCAGCGACCTCAGGTTGTTGGTCACAGTTTTCAATTCCTCTTCAAGTTCAGCACATTTGCTATTATTTGGGGACGCAGCCAGGAAAGGGGGCAGGAGGAAGACCAGTCAAGCCCAGGAAGAGAGGGGGAGAAAAGATAGAGAAAAAATGAAAACGGAATCTCAAAGCTGAAGGAAAGGGCCTCGGAAGCAGCTGCACCCCTCTGGGACCACCAAATCGGGACCGCCACCGCGCTCAAGGGGCACGGGGAGAAGACCCCCTCCGTGCTCTCGCCTGCAGCTGAGGCTACGCAGGGAAGGAGGAGGGGTAGGGTCTCCCAATTAAGAGCCCCTCTCCTCTAATCAAAGGCAGGCAAACAGGTGGCTGTGTGGCTGTCCTGGGGCATTTTGGAAGCCCCTCTGGCAGAGGCCAGCCTCGGTTGCAGCCCAGGGGTCCCAGAGAGGCCAGCTCCTTTCCTCGGGCTCAGTCACGGCCACAAGGCTTCCACGAACACACGCGTCCGATCAGAGCTTTTGGAGACAAAGAAGAGCCACGCAAGCGAAGCAGGAGGAGGCCAGGAAAAGGAGGAGGCCAGCAAGAAGGCGAGAGGCACCTCAGCCGCCAGGTTTGGGCTGCGGCTAAGCCCGGACTTTGCATTCACCGACGGACGCTGATGCGTGCCAGTACCTTTTCCTCGGCCGCCATGAGTGCTTTCAGGGTCTGATCCATGGTTCTTAGCTGTTCTTCCAGCTGTCGGACTTGGCTGTTAGTGGACACAGGAAACGCACAAGAGCCATTCACAAAAACCGGTGAGCCAGTGACAACCACAGCATGCAGTGACCCAAACCACACCAGAGCTCCCCCGCCGGACGCCGACACGGCCGTAAGCACACACAGGCAAACACACAGGCGGGCGGACACACACCGCAGCCCCTTCCGCTGGGGCGCACAGCCGGGCATGGTTGCAGCGGGGGCCAAAAGAACATCCACCACATCCACGGACAGCAGCGCAAGGCCATCAGCAGCAGCAGCAGCAGCCCCGGGAGGGAGACTCACCTTTCGGAGAGCTCGGCCCGCTCTTCTGCACGCTCCAAGTCGCTCTCAATGATCACCAGCTTCCGGGCCACCTACAGCCGCCGTGGAAACAGAAAGGGGGGGGGGGGAGAGATGAAGCTGGAAGGGGCCACCCCAGCCAACAGGTGCCTTCCGGGGGGCTGGATCCCTGGCAGAATGGCTTTGCCTCCTCCTAAAACGTATCCCTGAACCTCCGGGAGGCTTTCAGAGAAACAAGCGGAATGTTAGTGTTGTAATATAGTCTGGGTCGCTCCATCCCGAGAAAGCTTGTGTCCTGTCTTTTCTCAACATTGGCCTCATGGGCGAACCACGGGAACGTTACATGTTATGCCCAAAAGGCAAAGTGGGGAGTTACACAGCGAAGAGGAGGCACCACAGGCCTCGGTCCCCCAAAGCTCTCTGGAAGAGTCCGTGCAGACTTTGGGCTCAGGCAGTTTCCAAGGAGGGGCTGCTCCACTGTCAGCCCCCTCCTGGCAGGTGGGGGCCCTTAGCAGGCTGCTCCCGATGGCTCAAACGTGGCCCTGAAACCGCAGCCGGAGGGGCAGAGAAGCAGGCAGGAGCTGGCCAACGGCTGCCACCCCTCCTCTGCCCATTCCTGGTGGGACCGCCCCAATGCCTGGAGCTCGGCTGCCCGAGGTCCGCCCTTTCCTTCCCATGGAGGCGCCCACCACACCCGAGGGGATGCCAGGCCAGGGTCAGCGGAGGCTCACCTCCTCGTACTTCCGGTCGGCGTCCTCAGCGATGTGCTTGGCCTCCTTCAGCTGGATCTCCTGGATCTCCATCTTCTCCTCATCCTTCAGGGCCCGGCTCTCAATGACCTTCATGCCTCTGGGAGAGAAGGGCACCGTCACGGGCAAAGCCAGGAAGCCCAGCCGTCCCAGGGCCACCTGCCCCGTTTGGGGTGCAACCACCCTGCTGCAGATGCCACCTTCCTTCCTAGCTCAACCACAGGGGCTGCCCCAGGAAGAGGGCACGGGGAAGGTGCCCACCCTGCAAGTCTTCTGCACCCAACGCCCATCTCTCCACACGCCCCACCCTGCAAGTGCTCAGATGGCGCTCTCCCCGCCCTCCCCTGCGTGTGCGCCTGCGTTTGTGCGTATGGGAGAGAAATCCTGGCAGAGTCTCTCTCCTTAATCAACATTTGTCTAGAGTTTCTCTTGAAGACGGGGAGGCTGGCTGGGGGATTCTGGGAGTTGAAGTCCAGACGCCTTCAAATGGCAAAGATTGAGAGAGACAGATCTAAAGTCCCTGACTGTCCTGTTACGTGGTTTCTTCCCCTTCACTGCCAATTTTCACACAGAGGCTGGAGACCCACCCATTGGGGATGATAGAGTGAGTCCTGCAATGTGCAGGGGTTGGACTTGATGGCCTCGGAGGTCCCTTCCCATTCTGAATCTCTCTGTTTCACCTAGTTCCCCTTAAGGCAACAGGCCAGACCCCTCATAGCCCAAAGGACACCGGGACACTCTTATTATCCAGAGGAAGGTAACTCTGGTGCCAGCCAAGCACCGGCCATGCCAGGGGGGGTGGCCAGCCTCACCTCTCGCTCTCATCGGCCGCCTTCTCGGCCTCCTCCAGCTTCTGAAGGGCTGTTGTCAGGCGCTCCTGGGCACGATCCAGCTCCTCCTCCACCAGCTGGATGCGCCTGTTCAGGGAAGCCACATCGCTCTCGGCCTGGGAGCAGGAAGGAAGGAAGGAAAGGTGCTCATGTTTGCAAAGTGGGCAGGAGGGCGGCACTGAATCACGAAGAGGGAGGTGCGGGGAGGACAGCCTCCCCTCCCCAGAGCCAGGGATCGACATCCTTGGCTTTGCCACTGCCTGCCCATTCTCTCCATTTCACAGCCAAGAAAAAAAGGAGAAGAAAAATTACTGCAATTTAACTTAAAATCGTTTGCTGCGCACCGTATTATTCCTACAGAGAGAAGGACACCAACGGATGGAAGCAGATCACAGCCATTGTGATTTGCATCAAGCCCATCCTCTTCTCTGCTTCCTAAAACTACCCAGCAGCCACGCTCCCTGGGCCACATGTCTGCGCCTTTTGGCTCAGGCCACACAGGAAGGAAGCCACCAGAAGAGCATAAGTTTATAAGTTTAATAACATTTATATGCCGCCCAATCGCGTAGGACCCCGGGCGGCATCCAGCGGCTGCAAACGCTCTTCTCTTACAGCAGGGGGCTCCAAACTTAGCCACCTTCAGCCTTGTGGACTCCAACTCCCAGAATTCCCCAGGCAGCGCATGCTGGCTGGGGAATTCTGGGAGTTGAAGTCCACAAGGCTGAAGGTGACCAAGATTGGAGTCCTGTTCTCTTACAGGAAACGCTCCTCTTGAATGCTCCCTTGCTAATCCAGATCAACTCCCAGCCAAGTTTATCCAGTGGCTGTTTCAGCCCCTTTCAATTCAAGCAAAGCAAAGCACATCTGGGGAATGGGGGGTGGGGAAGGGGACGGGGACATCCCAACGCAACGCACACAACAGAATCGGCCTTTCTTGCATACTTTTCCCCTCCAGGGAAAGAGGGACGATGGCGCTCCGGTTAATCATTACCCCAAAAGGCATCTGGCTGCGTCCCTTGGAGGCCAAAAGGTTGCTTTCCTACTTCCTGTTCCCAAAGAGAAACCAGCAGGGCCAATTATGATCCCTTTCCATTTCCCACAAAGCAAAGCCCTTTCCTTATATGGTCACAAAAATACCCTTATTCCAAAGGACACACGTCCAAGGCCAAGCAGAGGAGCAGGCGCTGCGCTCCAGGGGGGCTGATTCTGGCAGAGTTTGGCCCAATTGAGATCTTCAGCTCCCCCCCTTGAAAGCAACCATTTCCCTTTTTCAACCCAGCCCCCTCTCCCTGCAACAGGAACTCCCCCACCCCAGTCCTCAGTCTTTGGAAAGAAGGTCCAGGCCCCTGGCTGGCCAAGGGGGCAGGTGGGAGGGGCCCCTTCAAGTCAGCCTCCAAACCCCCGAGGCTACCTGGCTAAAGCGGGGGGGGGGAGGGGGAACGCAGTCAGACCCCAGAGGGGTTCAGCCGAACAGGCCCTCCTGGTCTGAACTGCAGCCAGAGAAAGAGAGGGGGGCCCATATTGTAACCCCCTTGCACCGCCTCCTCCTTCACCCAGAGGCCAACAGATTTCAAAGCAAGAGCCCTCCTTACAACTGTCTTTTTGGACTCCAAGGGAGCCTTTCAGCTTTACGGCCAGAAATACAAAACTGGGCCAGACTGGGCCTCCCAGTTAAAGGCCCCTGCTGGTCCCAGTGGCTTGAGGGCTTCCTGGCCACGGTGGGCTTCCCTAAAACCAGTCGGGGTCTGGAATATACAGAGTCGGGGTGGAGGTTTTGCACCCAGGACCATTCCCCCCTTGGGAGGAGCCCTGCAGGTGCCAGCAAAGGACCCCACCCTCACCAGGCGCTCCTTCCTGGGGAGTGGGGGGGGGGCGCTCAGGGCTCCAATTAAAAAGGGGGGCAGGAGGTCTGAGAAAGCACCCAGGGGCGGGGGGGGGGGCTCCGAGGAAGGATCCAGGGAGCCCCTGGAACCAGAGGGACCCTGAACGGGGAGCTCCCATCTGGAGGGGCGGCGGTTGGGAAGAGAAGCGGGGGGAGTCCCGGCGGGAATCGCCCCCAAGGCCGCAAGGGGGAGCCCGGAGCTCCCGCAGAGGCCGAAGGTCGCACCTGGCGGGGAAGGGGCGCTGCCTGCGGGGGCCAGGGCAGGGCGGGAAGCCGATGCCTCCCGACGGCATCCNCTGCAGATAGCAGTCAGCTGAAGTGGCCTACAGTACTGCACCCTAACCACTGCGCCACCTCGGCTCATGGGAACAGCAGGAAGCCCACAGGAGGCTCATCCGCTACCCCAAAAGAGCCCCAACCTGGGGCTGGGCTGAGATGGTGAGGACTACAAAGCCAACAGCCCTCAGCCAGGTCACCTCTGCCCCCCCCCCCCTCAGCCCAGCTCTGCCGGCTGATCTCTTCCTCCCCTTTTCCTCTCTGTAGAAATGGGTGAGAATAAAGAGATTTCTCCCTCCTGCTTTATCCGCCAGGAGGAACTGCAGCTAAAAGCCAGCCAAGGATGAGAATCTGGCAACCCAAACGCCCCTTCGGCTGCTTCAGTCCCATGAGCCACAAGGCTGGCCAGGAGGGCGAGGAAGAGCTGATGGGGCAGAAGGAGCCCAGCCAGGGCCGACTACAAGCAACGGGATAGGGATGACTTTCCCCAGCCTCCGGCCTCTCATGCAGGCACCTAGAGGGAGTCCATCCACCTCCTTGGGAACCAGACCACACCGGGGCTATAATTGGGCCGGGGGTTTCAGAACACAGCTGTCTATACCCGGAACCTTCCCCCCATTAAACTGAACCAAGGTTTGCCGTAACAGACCTGCCCCCTTCCTGGTTTCCCCAGGAGAGAAAACCACTTGGAGAATCTTGACTTTGAAGGCAGCACGGTGGCCCCTTCTTGGCAGCCTCCCGGCCCACTTCTTTTGCCAAACGCAGCGTGTTGGGGCAGGGTCCCTTCATCTACAGCCCCCAAACTTGACAACTTGAAGACTTGTGGACTTAAAAGAAATCTGGCTGGAGAATTCCGAGAGGCGAAGTCCGCAAGTCTTAAAATAGCCAAGTTTGAAACCTTCTGATCTACAAAATTACAGCCTGAAGTGGGGGGGGAGGTGTTTTTGGAAGAGGAGCTGTGCAGTTAGGAAGTTGGGGACACACCTTCCCAGCCAGCCCAACGGTTGCTCAGGCTGGCTGCCCCTCCCCCCCCCACAGGCAGAGTCCGGATCCACCACGGAAGTGATGCAAGAGACACGGCTGAGCAGAGCCATGAGTCACGGCCCAGTCACGCCAGCAAAGGTGAGCTCTTCCTGGCAACCCCCCCTCCACCCTCGTCCTGCACATCTGTCCCAGCAGCTGTTCCTCACCTACCACACCCCTCAACCCTACAGTCGCCTTCTCTCTCTTTCTGCAAAATAACCCTTTTAAGGGCCAGGAGGAGGAGAGGCAAGACCTGGGGACTACTTAGAAGAAAAATCCACCCCACGTTCCCCTCCCTGCCTACAAAGAAATAAACCTTTTTCCCTGGAGGGGCTAAAAAACAGCAGAGGCTCCTCTCTGGAAATTCGGTAGCATTTCTCTGGCCTCCTTCCCTCCCCCCCCCCCTCCCCCTCCCCCTCCTCCTCCTCCTCCTCC